ATCATCATCACGGTGGCTAGGAGATGTTAACTACCTCGCCTGGTCTACAGGAGGTCGTGTATTCGATCCCGACCCTGACGCCTGCCGCTGTATATTTGGAGTTTGTGTGTCTCTCTCTCTCCATGGTCGCGTGGATTTTCCCCCGGGTCTTTTGGTTTTTTCCCTCCACCTTTAGAATCACGCGTTTGGAGTATGTGGCGGCTATAAATGTCCACGTGATGATGATGATGATGAGAAGCCGCCTCTTCGTTGAGCTGTCATTTGTGATGGCCACGTCGCTTCTGAGCTACACACTATCTCAGTGGGGCCTTGCACCTGGTCAAGTAACAAAAAATAGTTTAGTTTTTATAGTTTTTTTATATAGTTTCCGTGTGAATTTAATAGTTATTGTCAAATTCTACTCCACTTCGCCCTTGCCCCAACAGCCTGTTCAAGGCTACACGGGGTATCCTTGTGTGTGTATGTGCGCGTTTATATTCAGTGGGGAGTGGTGGTGCAGCGGTTAGGGCGGCGCGGCGCTGCAAACCCGGCGGCCCAGGGTTCAATCCCCGCTCACGGTCACCGCCAACAACCGGTGCCGATGATCTCAACCGGTCCTGATGGGTCTTGCCTAGGTCGACTCAGCCTCAAATGAGTACCCGGTGCGGTGTGTAGTAAACATCGCCACCGGGGAGACAAAGGCGGCCGGGCGTGGTGCTGGCCACCCACCCCATTGTGTGCCGTGCCGGCCTTCATAGGTGCTGATCTTTGTGTGTGTGTATGTGCACGTGTGTTTATATAGATTGCTGTGTTTATGTGTTGCTATAAGCGCGCACGTGTGTGTGCGTGCGATGGTGTAGCGGTTAGCGCGCTGCGCTATGAACCCGGCGACATGGGTTCGATTCCCGCTCACGGCCAACACCAGTGACGATTATCTGAACCGGTCCCGGGCCTCCCCTAGGTCGACTCAGCCTCAAATGAGTACCTGGTGCGGTGTGTAAACATCGCCACTGGGGAGATAAAGGCGGTCGGGCGTGGTGATGGCCACCCACCCCCTCGTGTACCGTTCCGGCCTTCATAGGTGCTCGCTAACAGCACTTGCCCCTACAGTCTGTTAAGGCTATATGGGGGATCTTTGTTTATCTTTGTGCGTGTGTGCGTATTTTCTTTTGGGTCGTGGATCTGAGAGCAATTTCACAAACACGCACAACCCTCGCAATCTCAAACCGGTTATGAAACGGACAATAACAATCGTTAGCAGTATTATCACAGCAGTTTGCAACGTCGCATATCCGACTGTCGCGTATCCATGCCGACCAGTTCACCAAACTCACACACACGCAGTCGCGGTGCCTGTGGGGAGCGGTATTGTAGCGGTTAGCGCGCTGCGCTACAAAACCCGGTGACCCGAGTTCGATCCTGGGCTTCCCCTAGGTCTACTCAGCCTCAAATGAGTACCCGGTGCAGTGTGTGGACATCGCCACTGGAGAGACAAAGGCGGCCGGGTGTGGTGCTGGCCACCCACCCTGCCGTGTGCCGTGCCGGCGTTCATAGGTGCTCGCTAACAGCACTTGCCCCAACAGTCTGTTTAGGCTATACGGGGGATCTTTGTCTTTGTGTGTGCGTGCGGTGCCAGTGGAGAGAGTGGCAGGGCGCTCGCTCCGTGGTTCCGATCTATTTTGTCTGCCGTCGCGGAATTCGCTCGATGCCATCCGTGCCATCCACCCCGCACGGACCTCTCCCTCTGCTGCTTCTGCTGCTGCCTCCGCTGCTACCACCTCCGCTGCTGCCGCTGGGAGCCAGCCCCTCTTTCTGCGCTACAGATGATGCCACCTCGACCCCTGCACCGCTTTGGGGGGGTTGGGGGGGTCTGGGTTTTGAGTCGATGGACGTCGCCGTTCGCTCTAAACTAAAACTATTTTAACTAATTTTTGTATTTATTTTTGCCCAGGTAAGGCCCCACGCTGAGCTATGCAGTAGCTCGTTATTTTTCCAGAAGCGACCTGGCTGTCAAATGATAGCCCAATGAAGTGGGCTTGATCATCATCGTCGTCGTCACGTGGACATCTATAGTAGCGGCCTAAAAAAAACCACGTGATGTTGGTTCTAACTGTGGAAGGAAAAACCGGAGGACCCAGAGAAAAATCCACATGACCACGGGGAGGGAGAGAGACACCGCAAACTCCAAATATAGAGCAGGTGTGAGGGTTGGGATCGAACTGACGACCTCCTGTATACCAGGCGAGGTAGTTAACATCTCGCCACTCAAACGAGATACAGACTCCAAACCCAACCCAGTCTTCAACTCAGACTCTGACCATGAGACCCGGTCTCCCTGATTCTCACCCCGGATTCTGACCCTGAGACCTGGTCTCCCCGAGTCTCAAGCAAGACTCTAACCGTGAGACCTGGTAATTGGACTCCAATCCTGAGACCCGGTCTCCCTGAGTCTCAAACCAGACTCTGACCCTGAGACCCGGTCTCCCTAAGTCTCAAATGGACTCCAATCCTGAGACCCGTTCTCCATGAGTCTCAAACCAGACTCTGACCCTGAGACCCGGTCTCACTTAGTCTCAATTGGACTCTAATCCTGATACCCGGTCTCTCCGAAACTCAACCCAGACTCTGATCCTGAGACCCGGTCTCCCTAAGTCTCAAATAGACTCCAATCCTGACACCCGGTCTCCATGAGTCTCAAACCAGATTCTGACCCTGAGACCCGGTCTCCCTAAGTCTCAATTGGACTCCAATCCTGAGACCCGGTCTCCCTGAGTCTCAGTTGGACTCCAATCCTGAGACCCGGTCTCCCCGAGTCTCACCCCAAACTCTGACCCTGAGACCCAGTCTACCTGGGTCTAATTGGACTTCAATCCTAAGACCCGGTCTCCCTGAGTCTCAATCACGGGGAGAGAGAGAGACACCGCAAACTCCAAATATAGAGCAGGCGTGAGGGTTGGGATCGAACTGACGACCTCCTGTATACCAAGCGAGGTACTTAACATCTCAGCACTCAAACGAGATACAGACTCCAAACCCAACCCGATCTTCATCGCAGACTCTGACCCTGAAACCTGGTCTCTTTGAGGCTCAACCTGAACTCTGACCCTGAGACCCAGTCTCCCTGAGTCTAATTGGACTTCAATCCTGAGACCCGATCTCCCTGAGTCTCAATTGGACTCCAATCCTGAGACCCGGTCTCCCTGAGTCTCAATCAGGACTCTGATCCTGAGGCCCAGTCTCCTCCCCAGTCCAAGTCTCAAGACATCATTCTTGGAAGGAGGAGGAGAAGGAGAACAAGGAGAATCATCATCATCATCATCTGGTCTCACGTCGCTATGGCTTCAAAGCACCGAGCGTGACCACCTCCAGGGGAGGAGGGGTTGACCCGCGCGGCCAAAATAAAAAAAAGTCCGAAAATAAAATTAAAAGTCAGTGTCCAAGGGCGGCGGAGTATTATAAATATACCCGTTGTCGGCATGACGGCACACGCCCCGGCATTCCTGCACTCCGCCAGAGCGGCCGACTCCCGCCCTGGCTGCCAACGGAGTTCTCATTTATATTTAAACCGGGCCGTGCATGGCGGCCACCGGCGGCCTCCAGCGGGCCACGCAACGGCCACAAACAACAGCACGCCAGTGACGGTGGCAACGGCGGTGGTGGTGGCGGCGCCGCATCTTCCGCACATCTGACAAAGAGTTTTGTAGCGCTACGGTGCTTTTTTCTTGAAGATTTTGCTGTTTTTTTCTCCGGATGATTCTGTTGCGCGTAGTCACTTTAAGATGTCTCTTTGTTCATGTTTTTGTTTGTTGCGGTTGCACCCGAGTCAAGAGCCGCATGGCTCACAGCGCTATACCTAATACATGAAACTGAAACCGCCAGCACGAATACATATTCCGATTATTCTGATTCGGTCTCCCGGCCCTTCCCTCCGACTCTTTGTTGGCTTCATCTCCACCGCGGCGCCGGTGGCGGCACGGCCAGCGGCTCGTGGCGCTCGGGAGGTCGAGAGTTCAACTCCCAGTTGGGTTGGTCATGGAGAGGGTTGGTCATGGAGAGGGTTAGAGAGACGGTGGCAGATGACGGGGAGCTCTGCATGCAGTTATGAGCTACCCGTCGGAGGCCGCCTGACTGCGAGAAGGGCTGCGTGCAGAACGAGAGTGAGCGAGAGAGTGAGCGAGAGAGTGAGCGAGAGAGTGAGCGAGAAGAGCGAGCGAGAGAGCGAGCGAGAGAGCGAGCGAGAGGGGTGGGGGTTTACATAAAGCAAAGTTATTATTTTAAAAATAAAATACGAAATGATGAATGAAGCAAAGTGCCGACTACACCGAGCATCTTCTTGTTTCCACTGATTGTAAAAAAGAGAGAGAGAGGGTGAGGAAGAGGGTTAGGGAGAGACGCCGAGATTAGAGTGAAGTCAGTGCAGCGTTCGTGGTGTAGCCGTTCGTGTGGCCGGGCCATCGAGTGGATCGCAGCGGTCGGAAGGGTCAAGAGTTCACCTCCTGATCGCGGGAGGCGGGGGGGTGGGGAGTGGGGGGGTTGATGCGGCCCATCATCACTGCCAGACGGGCGTGGTGCTGGCCACCCAACCCCCCGGCCTTTGTAGGTGCCACTACTCGCTACTAACGGCACTTGCCCCAACAGCCTGTTAAGGCTACACGGGGGATCTTTGTCTTTGTTTGAAACTAGGTTCAATTCGGCCTCAAATGGGTACCTGGTGCGGTGTGTAGTAAGCAACATCGCCACTGGGGAGACAAAGGCGGCCGGGCGCGGTACTGGCCACCCCCCTCCCCGTGTGCCAGTGCCGGCCTTCATTGGTGCTGCTACTCGTTAACAGCACTTGCCCCAACAGTCTGTTAAGGCTACACGGGGGATCTTTGTCTTTGGTTGTGTGTTAACTGCTTCTCCTGTTCCCCTGTGTGTGTGTGTCTGTATGTGTGTCTGCGTGTGTGGGTGTCTGTGTGTGTTTGTGTCTGTGTGTGTGTCTGTGTGTGTGTGTCTGTGTGTGTATCTGTGTGTGTACACAGGCTGCATGCTTTGTCTCGGACAGTGGAACTTCTTCCGTTTCAATCATCCGGACGAGGCGGTGAGAATTCGCAGCATGCTGGCCCCGTCGGCGAACCCGCCCGCCGCCCCGTCACGTACGTCAACAACAACAACAATAGCATTAACAATAACAACAGCAACAATAACACAAACAACAACACCAACAACAATAATAACAATAACACCAACGTCAACAACAACAACACCAACAATAACGACAACGTCAACAACATCATCAAAGTCAATACCATTCACGTCATTGCTATGATTCTCATCATCATCACCATGTGTTGAGTGTGCATGTCTGTGTGTGCATGCACATACGTGTTCATGTGTGTGTGCGGGCGCGTGCGTTTGTGGGTGCCTGTTCGTGTGTGTGCGGGCACGTTTGTGGGTGCGTGCGTGTGCGCGTGTGCGTGCGTGTGCGCGTGTGCGTGCCTGTTCGTGTGTGTGCGTGCCTGTTCGCGTGTGCGTGCCTGTTCGTGCATGTGTGTGTGTGTGTGCCTGTGCGTGTGTGCATGCGCGCATGTGTGTGCGTGCGTAGTGGGGAGCGGTAGTGTAGCAGTAGCAGTTAGCCCGCTGTGCTATAAACCTTGCGACCCGAGTTCGATTCCCGCTCACGGCCAACACCGGTGACGATTATCTAAACCGGTCCTGGGCCCTTCCCTAGGTCGACTCAGCCTCAAATGAGTACCCGGTGCGGTTTGTAGCAAACGACGCTACTGGGGGAGACAAAGGCGGGCAGGGCGTGGCGCTGGCCACCCACCCCCCCCTCGTGCGCCGTGCCGGCCTTCACAGCTGTTGCTAGCCAACAGCACTTGCCCCAACAGTCTGTTGAGGCTTTGGGGGAACCTTTACCTTTGCCGCGTGTGAGCAGACGCCATGAGCTCGGTGAACGGCAACGACGCCCGGCGCAGGGACGGTGCGCCAGCAGGACGGGCCGGCGCTCGAGACAAACTCCTCAACGCCTGCTCCATCGAGCAGGACCTGCAGGTGAAGATGCCGTTCTATGAAACACGTATGAGGTTTTTGCCTGGTCGCTGATGAGAAATATGCCTTCTTGGTTCTTTCGGTTAAGTCACGTAGAAGGGAAATAATAAAAGAATAAAAATAAAAATATAATAAAATACAATACTCACTTTTATTATTCTATTATTTCCCTTTTACGTGACTTTACCGAAAGAACCAAGAAGATGAATCCCTGCAGTCACGAAAGCTTTAAATCGATATTTGCATTGTGGAAGTCGCCTTTATTCGATATGAGTTGGCTTGACGGTGATGGTGGTGATGATTATGTTGTTGACGATTATTAATTCATAATCATCGTTGTTATTATTTAAACTCCGGCTGAAGCAGAGTGCACACGCGGCCCCGTCATTTGCTGGCACGGTACCCGCTCACTCGAAATCTGGCACCATCACCACCGCCCCCTCCACCCGCCACCACCCACCCCTCCCACACCCCCAGGACATCATCGACTCGCTCACGCTGGAGAGCAACACAGCCTCCGGCGCCCCTCTCACGCCGGCCTCCTTCACCAGCGTCGCCTCCGCTCCGGACAACGGCAACAACAACCACCAGCAGCAGCAGCAGCCCCGCGGCGTACCGTGCTCCCCTCCCTCGAGCCCGGAACGCGTCTCCCTCTCCGGCTCATGCTACGACAACCTGGCGTCCGCCTCGTCGTCGCCATCGTCGCCCTCGTCGTCGTCAAGTTCCAACGACAACCACGGCACGCCGCCCGTGCCCGCCCGCTCCTCCAGCTACAACTTTACTTCGCAGCGCTCCGCCAACGGCTTCCGTGCTGCCGCGGCCGCCCCCCCCGTGGCGACGGCTATGCCGGCGGCGCCGGCCGCCAGGGCCGAAAGCCCCCGCGCGCCGAGGCGACGGATCCGGGACGCGCCCATGGAGCGGCCTCACCTTGCGCACGCCAAACCCGGCCAGGGCGGCGGCGGCATCGGCGGAGTGCCACCGGAGAGTGGCGGCTGCGCCAATGCCAACGCCGCTGCGGCCTGCTTCCCAGGCTTCTCGCCGGAGAGCCCTCCAAGCCCGAGGCTCCCCAGGGCTTCTCTGGAGAGGGGCGGGGGGGCGGCCACGGCGGCCGGGCCCGTGCCGCTCTCCCCACGGGCGGCGAGGAGATCGGCCACCACCCCGCCTGCCAGCCCGGAGGCCTCGCGCCGCGGCTGCTTCCCCATCTCACTCGCCTCCCCACAGGGTCCCTCGAGGTGGCAGCAGCAGCAGCAGCAGCAGCCGCCGCACTCGCCGTCATCGGCAAGAAGACTCGTGGCGCGCGGCGGCGGCGGCGGTGGTGGCGGAGCCTTGGAAGGCCGCTCTCCGACTTTGGGCGTCCAGAGCAGCCAGCGTTGGGGTCAGCCTCAGGCGAAGCCTGCGGGCGTAGGCCCCGACGGGTCCCCTCGCTCCCTGCTCAGCCCCGATTACGGTCACCACCAGCAGCAGCAGCAACCGCCGCGCCCTCTGGACACGCTGCCTCCTCTGAGCCCGAAGTCGAGCCGCAAGGCCGCGGCTTCGCCGGCGCTGGCCGGGCCAGAGTCGTGCCCCTCGGTTGGCAAACGCCTCGGAGGCGTCTTCACCAGTCCGGCGTTCATACGGCGGTCCGGCGGTGGTGGTGGTGGTGGTGATAGTGGCAGCGGTGCACGAGAAGGCCTCGTTATTTTGGACCACGAAGCCGCCGCCGCGGCATCATCGTCCCCCTCGGGCACGCCGGGCGGCTCCTTCAGCGTCGCGACCAAGGTGAAGATCCCGGCGTCAACAATAACAACAGCGGCGGCAGCGTCAACAACAACAGCGACGACGCCACCCGTGCCCCGGTCTCCCTGCCGGAGCCCCGCGCTGCAACGCAGGCGACCGCCGGCGCCACTCTCGCCGAATCTGTCGTCGAGTCTGACGATGACGATGAGGTCGCCCACTGCAACCGCCGCAACCGCCGCAACCACCTCAATCGCAACCGCGGCAAAGCCGGACGGGGGACGACCGACGGCCCTCGATCGTTCCGCCGGTTCGGATTCCGAACGGGATCTCCCGCCGGAGGAGGAGGTGGATGACGGGGGGAAGGCGGCGGCGACAACGGTGCCGGCGTCTCCGCCGCGCTTGCGGGAGCGCAAGGGCAGCATCTCTGAGATCCGCGACGGGGACGAGTCGGAGCTGCGCCAGTACCACCGCAGGCACCGCGACGAGCGGCTCCGCGAGCAGGAGACGGAGCGCCTGGTGAGAGCTTCCGCACCGTCGCTGCACTCGAGAGCCACCGTTTGTGTTTGTTGTGTTCATGACAACGCGCGCAACGGTGGCACGGCGGTTGGCGCGGCGCGCCGCCAAAGCCTGGCGCACCGAGTTCGATTTGTCTGGCCGCGGCCAACGTCGGTCGCGGTGAGCGATGCCTCAACCGGTTCCGTGATGGTCTTTGGTGGGGCCGGTTCTGTGATTGTGTTGGTGGGTCTGTGATGGTTCCGTGATGGTTCTGTGATGGGTCTGAGGTGGTCCGTGATGGTCTTTGATGGTTCCGTGATGGGTCCGTGATGGGTCCGTGATGGTCTTTGATAATCCATGATGGTCTTTGATGATTATGTGATGGTCCCGTGATGGTTCGGTGATGGTCCGTGATGGTCTTTGATGATTATGTGATTGTTCCATGATGGTTCCGTGATGGGTCCGTGATGGCTCCGTGATGGTCTTTGATAATTAATCCATGATGGTCTTTGATGATTATTTGATGGTTCCGTGATGGGCCGTCATGGTCTTTGGAAGTTCTGTGATGGGTCCGTGATGGTCTTTGGAAGTTCTGTGATGGTTCTGTGATGGGTCCGTGATGGCCTTTGATGGTCCGTGATGGTCTTTGTTGATTGTTTGATGGTTCCGTGATGGGCCGTGATGGCCTTTGGTAATTCCGCGATGGTCTTTTATGATGCCTTGGTGTTTGGCTCTCGGATGGATGCGGTTGGGCCAACCGAAAACCCCTCCAGCGGATATGAATCCGCTGGCTGGTAAAGCTATGGGGGTCTCACATCTTCCTCTCTCTCGCACGCTCACTCGCAGATGTGTGGCCAGATGTGATCAATGGCAGGAGGGGAGAGCGTGGCGCGTGTGTATGCGTGTGCGCGTGTGCACGTCTGTGTGCGTGTGCACGTCTGTGTGCGTGTGCACGTCTGTGTGCGTGTGCACGTCTGTGTGCGTGTGTGCATGTGTGCGCGTGTGTGCTCGCGTGGTAGTGTAGCGGTTAGCACGCTGCGCTAAGAGCCTGGCGACCCGAGTTCAATTCCTGCTCATGACCAACACCAGTGATGATTATCTGAACCGGTCCTGGGCCTCCCCTAGGTCGACTCAGCCTCAAATGAGAACCTGGTGTGATCGTGTAAACATGCAACTGAGGGAACAAAAACGGCCGGGCGTGGTGCTGGCCACCCACCCCCTCGTGTACCATTGCGGCCTTCATAGGTGCTCGCTAACAGCACTTTCCCCTACAGTCTGTTGAGGCTATATGGGGGATCTTTGATCTTTTTGTGTCTGTGTTGTGTCTGTGTGTGCGAGTATTGAGTGAGCGGAATTACGGAATCGCCCTACAGATGTGGGGACGTTTTCCTTTGCAAATTTTTTCTTTTCTGGAGACGTTTTGGCAGACCTCAGAGCAATCCTGAGGTCTCTGTCATCTCACCCCCTCCCATTACACAATATTTTCTTTCACAATTTCTACGTTGAATTCGTCTCACACACGTGTACCCTCGGACGCAGTTGTAGTTCTTCCTTGGAAGCCCCTTTGGATTTCAATCGTTAGCGACACCACGTAAATATAAACACGTGTCGTTAAACCCGCCACCACCCGACGCAGCCAATCAGCGAGGTTTGTCACGTCAAACGGAGCGTGACAATTCGTAACTCGTACAGCGCCCGCCGATTAGTGCTGCAGAGTGATTACAGCCGGCATCATCAGGCGACAGACACATTTGTGGAGTCATTTCCCCCCACAAATCCAACGCGCCGGTTAGTGCTGTACTAGTCACGAATTGGCACGTTCTGTTTAGGGGCCGTCCATAAATGACGTCACACACCTTAGGGGGGGGTCAGACATTTGCGACGATGTGTGATGAAGGAGGGGGGGGGGTTGAGAAATGTGACGTCACATCAAAATGCGCAACTTTAAATAAATATAGACAACACGTTCTACTTAATTAAATAGACTTTCTAATAAATGTTTTCTCCTACAACATCAGAGTGCAGCGCCACATTAAATACACACTACATTGACAATAGTTTAAAGCGATTTGAAGCATGTTTTTTTTTTTTGGGGGGGGGGCATAGCTTTGTGACGTCATATTTGAGGGGGGGGTCTGACTTTTTGTGACGCCGTGTGACGAGGGGTGGGGGGGGGTAAAAAATCGTCAAAAATCGAATGATGTCATTTATGGACGGCCCCTAAGAAGAACGGAATATTTCTCGTCAGCTACCCGGTGTCGCAAACCTGTCAACCCACACGGTTTGCCCCGTGTTCTTGTGCAGAGAAATTGAGTTTTCAGGTCCATACGGTGTACAGCGGTTTCAATGCGGGTAAAAAAATGTGTCTATTTGTTTGTGTTTCTCCCTCGCGATGGGGACTTTGTAGAATGAACGTTGAGATTTATAGGGGACACAGGGTGACCAGTACGGTCTGAATTGGTCTCTAATTAGGTATGGCACGAATAAGGGGCTCACAGGTATTTAGTAGTGTAGTGTATAGTGTAGTATATAGTCTAGTGTAGTGTATAGTAGTGTATGGTAGTGTATAGTGTAGTGTATAGTGTAGAGTTTAGTGTAGTGTATAGTGTAGTGTATAGTCTAGTGTAGTGTATAGTAGTGTATGGTAGTGTATAGTGTAGTGTATAGTGTAGAGTTTAGTGTAGTGTATAGTGTAGTGTATAGTCTAGTGTAGTGTATAGTAGTGTATGGTAGTGTATAGTGTAGTGTATAGTGTAGTGTATTGTATAGTGTAGTGTATAGTGTAACGTATAGTAGTGTAGTGTATAGTAGTGTATAGTGTATTGTATAGTGTAGTGTATAGTGTCGTGTATAGCAGTGTAGTGTATGGTAATGTATAGTGTAGTGTATAGTGTAGTGTATAGTAGTGTATGGTAGTGTATAGTGTAGTGTATAGTGTAGTGTATAGTCTGGTGTAGTGTATAGTAGTGTATGGTAGTGTATAGTGTAGTGTATAGTGTAGTGTATAGTCTGGTGTAGTGTATAGTAGTGTATAGTAGTGTATAGTGTATTGTATAGGATGAACGTTGAGATGTATAAGGGGCACGGGGTGACCAATACGGTCTGAATTGGGTCGTAATAAGGTAGGGGGCGCACTGCTGATAAGGAGTTGACAGTGATGGTGTTGCCAAGGTTGGCATGCCACACGGCGGGGTGGTGTGGTCGGAAAACCACGCCCGACCGCCTTTGTCTCCCCAGTACGAATGTTGACAGGTTTGCAGATTGCCACTCGCCACCGATGTGATGTTGGCCGTGTCTGGGAATCAAACTCGGGTTGCCACGATCGTGGTGCAAGGGTGCTAACCACTGCACCACCACTCCCCAACGCGTACGCAAATATCTCCCGTGTAGCCTTAACAGACTGCTGGGGCAAGTGCTGTTAGCGAGTACCTATGAAGGCCGGCACGGTACACGAGGGGGTGGGTGGCCAGAACCACGCCCGACCGCCTTTGTCTCCACAGTGGCGATGTTTACACACCGCACGAGCTACTCATTTGAGGCTGAGTCGACCTAGGGGAGGCCCACGACTGATTCAGATAATCGTCACCGGTGTTGACCGTGAGCGGGAATCGAACTCGGGTCACCGGGTTCGTAGCGCAGCGTAGCGCTAACCACTACACCACCGCTCCCCACAATGCACACACACACACAGACACACAGACATGCACACGCGGACACACCCACACTTGCACACACACACAGACACACACACACATCACCACGCACGCACAAGACACACACACAAACATCTGCTCGTATCAATTGAGGCCGTGTTTGCCTTTGTCCATTGTTTGGCCACCTGTCCCTGTGACTCGTGTGCGGCCCCAACGCAGGGCAGGCAGGGAGCAGAGTGGATGCAGCGCACCACCAACAACAACAACCTGTGCCAGGCTAGGTGCACGTTAAGGCCACCACGTGAAGTATCCGAACGCCCTGGCAGGCGCCCACGGGCTTGACCGACCGAGATGACTCCTGGCACGATGCCACCGCCTTTGCCCACCCCACACCAGAGGTCGCAACCGGGTACCCGATACCTGTACCCTACCTGATACCCGGCTACCCGTACCCGGCCGGGTACGGGTACCCGTTTGCGACCCTGGTGTGGTCGGGTACGGGTACGGGTAGGCCGTGAGTCACTGGTGAGTAACCGTTTGTCACTCATTTCGGGTAGGGTACGGGTAGGGAACGGGTACCCATTTGTGACCCTGGTGCGGCCGGGTACGGGTACGGGTAAGGAATCAAAACCCGTTTGCGACCTCTGCCCCACACCCCACCCCGTGATGTGCCAACTCACGGCCACAATTCACAGGGGTGACCACAACCCACGGGAGTGGCCACAACCCACAGTCGAGGCCACAACGTCGAGAGGGCTTGAGAGTTGGCGTGCGAGTTCGACTCCCACTCACGGTCAACAGCACTGGTGACGATTACACTGGTCAACAAATAAAAAAAAAATTCTGGCCTGGACTTTTGCAGCTGTTCTAGACTAATTTCAGGGTGCCGATTCCAAATCTGATCCGTCACATCACTCTGTCGTCCAGAATTAGTTTTTTTCACTTAGACAAAGATAAAATATAAGGAAGTAAAAACATCTACGAAGCGCTTTGGAGTGAGGAGTATCATGATTATTAACGAATCGCAGTCACGATTACATTACAATTATTTCTTGAAATTTTCGATTATTTGATAGATTTTTATTGACAAATAATATATTACACTGGTCAACAACAACAAAAAACGTTTTTTTTCTGGCCTGGACTTTTGCAGCTGTTATAGACTAATTTCAGGGTGCCGATTCCAAACCTGGTCTCAGATTTGCTCTATCACATCTCATTTTTATGCTATCGGCATACCCCATTTTCATTGATTTTACCCGAAATTAACTCCGTCACTTATGATTGCAAGTTGTTGCGAGTCAGTGACTGCTTTAGTGTTAAAATACGGTGCTGTATTTTTAGGATAGTGTGTTTATAATATCATTT